TAAAGTCTATTGATTTACATCCAACGAGCTAAAAACGATGATATTGATCAACTATATTTAAACTTAATACGAGTATGTATCAAAATTTATTTGTATAATTCTTATTTGTATATTACGATATTCATTGGACTAATCAAAATCTTTGAAGATCTATCCACGTATTCAAATTCAGATGGAGAACAAAGAAATCTAAATTATTAGTACTGTGTAACAGAAACCTGATTTTCATTTATTTATATTAATTATTGTAAGTATCCTTTCACAAGATATTAAAAAGCTCTAGTATATTGTAACGTCCTATTACGACATTCTATTCAAATTTCCTCGCAGTAGTACAACTAAGCTACGAGTAAACTTTAATCAGTGGTGTAAAACAAATCGAAACTATGTATAGTAATTCATATAAATGGTAGGATAGGCTTATTTTCAGTATTTGTGGAAAATATTCAGCAATGTAAAATGCAGTAGTTTAAGCAGAAGACAAAGTGACGGAAAGCAAAAGACAAGAAAACAAACTGTGAGTTGTATTACATATAATCTTATTCATAAAAATATCTGCAGTATGTATAGAATCAATAGCATGTTAAGGATGAAAATTTTTGTAAATACAAAATAAAAATTATATTTATTAAAATATTTATAAAATCATAAGTATTTTTCGATTTGCTTGAAAAATTACGAAAATAAAAAAAATTTAGAGAGTCATACTTCTCTCCAGTGGTAATAATATGTCGGTAAGTGTCGTATAAAATATAATTATTATAATTAATAAATTATTTTATGGAAAGTCTTAAAGTACTTTTGTGAGTGACTGTATTTATTTTGTTTTCTTCATCGTGATCGTTAGTAACTGATAGAACAAAAGTATCGACAGTTGAAAAAAAAGAATCATATTCTCCTGTTCAAATTACTCATTCCTTCCTTCATCAAGGAGACATACGGCATTTCGAACATCAACGATACCACGTAAGCACAGATGTAGCTTACCACTACGTATCCCACACCTGAAATTAACTGGAAAACAAAGCAAAAAAAACATAATGAAAACAAAAAGCAGTTAATTAAAATTCATATAAATCTTTCAATTTAAACAAACAAGAATAATAATACATACGTTAGTAAGAAAATCAAAATGAACGGAAGTTTCACCGTATAAGTTCACAGAAATTATTAGAATTGGATTTATTAAATAAGCTCCGAAAGTTAACCTACTTAATGGTATCCAAACCTTCCACGAAAGAATACGATTCACTATACCTAAAATATGAATTGATTTGATTTATGACGATAGGAATGTAWTAATGTCGAATTAAACAATCAAATCAGATATATATTTATACCTCCATTATTTGTACAACACGCTATTAATATCCATGCTATTCCAATTGCCCACACAGTTCTACCGA